AGGCATCATGAAACCGAAGCCCAAAGGGCTGCAGAACGGACACGTCAGAGACACAATGAGAAGGGGGAGGGGAGGGAACAGAAGACAGCGGGACTACTTTTCGTGGGTCTGACGTGGGAGAGACGCGCCCCGAGACCCCCGAGCTCTCCAGGGTCGCCTTCCGAGCATTCCCCTCGGGGCCCAGCAGGGCCACCTGGTTGTCGGCCTCTCGGGCCAGAGTAGCCTTCGAGGCTGCTCGAGAACGCGACTTGAGAGAAACGCTAAGTGCTCGCTCCGACATGTGACCGCTCTCGTCAATCAGACACATTGACCCTCTACTGAGCAAGTCTAGAAAAGCGAGATTACCCCTCCCCGGGTCGGCCTTCGCGAGCGCGTCGGCGGCCATGCGCCCGCGAGGCACCCGCCGCACTGGGGCCCGATGGCAAACAACGAGTCTCTCTGGCCGTCCTCCGGTCGGCGCGAGATCCAGAACTACTCCTACTTAGCGTGTCAAAGATTGACTTCGCATCGACCACTGACAACGAGGTGACGGAGTCTGCAAGCTCGCAGTCTTCACTGAGAACGACTGAGAAAGGAGCCTGATTCAAATGCCAGTCTGGCTTGCATACATCATGGAAGATCACGTCACGCCAGAGGACCTGAACCCACTGAGCCTCAGCGACGGCGGCAGAGAGACCGAGGGCCTCTGCAGCGCCGGTGCTGGCCACCACTCTCTTGAGTCTGGATGACCTCCACGAAAGCAAAGAAACTCGGGCTCGGCGATTTTGTCTGCCCTCGGCGTCGGCAGCACACACCAGCCAGGCCCCTTGGGCCCCTCCCCGTTTCGCGGACCCGGGACCTCCCGCGTCGGAAATCGTGACAAAAGTAACCGAACTCACGTCGAGTGGCCAGATGATGATCCGCTGGCTGGCTGACGACTTCAGGTGCTTGACCACCTGAATTCCCAGTAAAGCATCCTCCACTGTGGGAGAGGGGACGGCCGCACTAAGAAGCGACGCCGAACCTGCCACGTCTGGCCGCGCCTCGCGGCCGAGCCACTGCACCTGAGCAATCATCGTCCGATATCCCTTGATCTCCGATGGGGGTCAGAAGGGCAGAGGGATCAGCTCTTCGAGCCTTGTCCAGCGACATGGCAGCGAGTTGCTCAACCACGTATTTTTCTTGGTCCACTAAAATATTCCCCCCTTGCTGCTGCAGGCGCCGTCCCGCGCAATCGGCAGCACCCACTTTCCACTTTCCAAACTTAAATCGGGCCTGCAGCTTCTCTCTCGAAGAAACGCGCTCGGACGCATGAACCGCGACGATCAGGTCGTCCACTTCTATCAGGATGATGGCCCTCGGCTCTCCTAGAAACGACCTCTTTACCCACAGACAGGGCTCCAACAGTGACTTCTGAAAACCCTCGGAGGCCAAGTAGGACGTCAGAGTACGGTGCCAGCGAAGGGGAGCGTCGTTCAGACCATACACTGGCGCTATGAGCTCAATCAACGAACCGGGCTTAAGATTAAGACCGCTGCAGGGTTCGCAAAAGATGGAGCCCTTCGGCCTCGCCAGCCGGTCACTCTGACAGAACGCATTCTTTGCGTCGGCAATCTCTAACTGCCAGCCGAGGGAGCACGCAGCCTGAAGGGTGACCATTAAACTCTCAGCCTGTGGAGTGGGTGCGCACACGTGAAGATCATCACTGTCCGGGTCATGGTGCCCCTGAACGCACCATCGGCTCCTAGCCTCTGGCTCGGCCCCCACCCCTTCTTGAGGCTTGAACCTCCTCACCACTCGACTTCCCAGAACCCTGTCTGGAATACGGCGCCTGACTAGAGACGCGGCCTCGGGCTCAATCACCTCCACGGCCCCCGAACTCAGCATAGCCCCCCACTCCTTCGCATCAGAGGCTTCAAACAGGCGGCGTTCCGAGGGGGACAGGTTCTTGAAGCTCACCTCCGCTCCCCGACGAGCAGGAGGAGGAGCCCCGTAGCCCCCAGCGTGGGCAGCAAAAGACGAGGCCACCCAAAAATCAGGATCAAAACTAAACCAACTGCACAGCTCATGCCAAAACTCCCCCTGTTGCTCCTCCTCCTCCTCCATGTCCTCCCCCAGGTCGGCGCGCCAGGAAGCCAAGTAGCGCTCCGTGTAGGGTGGGTGCCCGATGCCCGCCAGCCTGACTGCCTCAGCTGCAGTCGCGGCGTTCGCGTGCTCCTCTGCGGGATCTGGCCAGGGGCCCGCTGGGGCCGCAGCCGGCCCCGAAGAGGAGGACGCGCCAGGCGCCGGAGGGGGGCGCGAGCGTGGACGCTCGGCTTCTGCCTCAGCTCCAAGCGCCCGAGCCTCTTCTCGCCCCCTACGGATGCAGGCCGGCACATCATCTAATAAACCTCGCATTCCTCGGGGAGCCGGAGGTCTGGCCCCAGCTGGGGCCGGAGGGGCCCCGGGGCCAGGACGGCCCCGGCCCTCCGGAGGCGGCCGGGCGGTGACCCTGGAAGGCGGCATCCTCGGAGCCTCTATAACTCTTGAACCATGGCATGCACCCTACTGGAGGCCGAATTCCGATCCTCGATCGGAGTCAAACGAGCACGCTGCAAAGGGAGCTCAGGGACCTCGGGGTCTCCACTCACCCGACGAGTCGGAGCCGAGGTCGGAGCCTGACTTAAAACATTACGAGTAGAAGGGGCCCCCCGCGGCAGCGCGCGTCCCTGGACACGCGAGACGGCGGGGGCTCGAGCATTAGCTCCGCGCGGAGCCGAGGACATGGCCATCTCCTGAGGTTCCATCAGCGGACCCGCAGGAACCTCCAAAACCTCGGACCCCGGGCCCAAATCAGAAGGCGGGGCCCCGGTCCCTGGAACCTCGGAAGAGCCAGCAGCCGGCGCACCCCAAGCCTCTGGCGGAGGCGGGCCCTCAGATTCCACGTCGACCGCCCCCACGCGACAACCTGGATTCTGAAGCTCCCGGCGAAGCTGCTCAAACGAGGGGCTGGACATGAACTCGGCCCCCCAGGCTTCTTCTCTAGAGGCCCACCGGACCTGCTCAGAGCTACACTTCCAGAGGCGCGACCCCATTGCGACCCACACGGACGTGCCGCGCTGGTACACGACCGCGCCCGGACCCGTCCAGCAACTGCCTCCTACTGAGGTCTCCTCCATACGTAGACCCACGAACGCGGGGGGTAGAAGGTATCGACGTGCTGTCGAGCTCTCGGGGCGATCTGGACCTCTTCCCGAATGTCCATGGCCATCACCGCCTTGCGAGCCTCTTCCCTGAACAAATGTTTGCGAGCAAACGCGGCAGATGGGGGATCAGCGTCGTGGGCCCCCCTGAGGACGTCTTGGGCCCCCACCTCATCGATCGCCTCGTCACTCAAAAGGGACCTGGGAAACCTTGGGCTCTCTCAGAAAACCAGCTGATGGGGTGAGAATCCACCGCGGTGCATGCGACGATTCTTGGTGGCGACGACCTCCGCCAGGAGATCCTCGAACCTCCTCAGTCGACAGAGACTGGGCCGAGAGCGCAGCCTTCCGGAGAGCGAGCTTCGCCAGGCCGCCGCGCCTCTCGCAGCGGCCATTCTGGCGAGGGCTCTCGCTATCGCAGACGTGGTGGAACGCGCCTAAGTGCTCAAGAGACCGGGCGAAGATCCCCTCAAATTCTGATCCCCCATCAGACGTGACCACCTCTGGAATCCCAAAAGGGCGGACCCAGGCAGGACCTCGCGAACCCCCTTCCAAGCCTGTTCGGCGCTGGCCGCCCCGAAGACGGTGCGCGCCTGATTATTCGCACCGTGATCCACCAAATTCAAAATCGGAAGAGACACTCCGAGAGCTGGCACAAAGAACAGGTCCACGGCCACAAGCTTGTTGAACCTATCCTCGGGAGTTGGGCCCTCCTCCTCCACGACTTGGGCCCCTCTGAGTTACAGGAGGGGCAAGTGAAATGCCTGGCCGTCCACCTCGCCACCTCCTCACGGGCGTGAGCAACCTTCAGCGCCCGCACAAAGTCGCCCACGCGGGGGTGCCCCAAGTTAGCGCGAAGCTTCTTGACCTCTTGCTGAAGCTCCTGGGGGAGCTCCTTGCTGGGACCCTCGGGGCCCGGACCGGAAACCCCTTGGCGCACTTCGTCTTCCGATTCAACGTCTATAACTTCCGCCCCTTCCTCAGCCCCCACATCAGCCCCTGGAACGACCCCTTCGGGATAGGCCTCCAGCCCATCTGAACCGACAGGCGAGCCGGCCCTACTCAGCACCATGTTCTCCACTCCCTGCGCCAGGGTCGCCACCAGAGCCGGCGGGTACACCTCCGCAGCCGACGTCCTCGCGCCGCCCACCAGGGGAGAATGGAGATGGGGCCCGTCACACCGCCGATCGAGAAGGTCTAAAAGCTCAGAGTCGTTCGAGAGGAACCGAGTGGCTTTCTGGTTAAGCCCCTCGGAGCCAGGAGCTGACATCCCGAACTGACACTGATCCGCCACGACGCTCTCCACAGTTTCCCGAGCCGCGACCAGCCGAATGCATTCGAGGTCCCAGGACAGCGCGTAGGCCGGATGCTCCAACACAAACTTACGTCCGTGCTGAAACTGGCGCATGGCCACCATGGCACAAATACCCATAAACAGCAAACCCTCGGCCTCCAAACCTTCCAGTTTCTCAGAGGACATGCGAGACCAGTTGGGGATCCTGGCCAGGGAGAAAGAGGTGCAGGGAGGTGACATCACCACCGCCTCTGGGCGCTCTTCCTCCAGAATCTTCCAGACTCTGCGCCTACCCTCAACCGTGGCGGCGCCCCATCCCGTTTTCTTGTCCAGGGCCTGGGAGACGGGGCACCCTCGACGCTGCAGCTCCTTCGAGACACGGGGCGGGGAGACAAGCTCGAGCACCGCAGTCCTATACCTTCTCGCTTGTAGGCCTTGATGGCCTCTCTGCGTACCATCCTTTTTTGCTTGCGAATCCCCCTTCCCGTGAGAGCCTGCAAGGCCCCTTGCCTCACCTACCTCGGCGCTGTCGGCTCCTCGGAGGCCTCTCCGGGAAGCCGACTCCGATCGAAGACAGCCCGCGACTCGCAGAGGCTGGACGCTGGGACCCCGGTCTTCTCCAAAATATCCTCATCGGTCTCCGTGATGAATGCGGCCGAGACCTCCCGAGGCCCGGACCTAGTCCGCGTGCTGATCTTGAGGTGCTCACTGCCACGGCCCGCTAGGGCCTGCGCCAACTCCACCGCAGACGTCGAGGTCCACAGCGTGTCGACCAGCTCGATGGTCTCTCGGCCTCCTTCCTGCTGCTTACCCTCCTCGACCCTGATCCTCCGAGCGCTTCCCAAGAGACCCGACGAAGAGGACAACTTCGAACCGCTCGCACTCAAAGCCAGATCCACGACCCAGGAGGCCTTTTCGAGAGGACCCAGCTCGGACCGGACCCAACCGGCCCGATCGCACACCTCGTCGAGAGGGACTCGACGTCCCGAGCGAGCGCCCCAGACCCCCTTGGCTCCTCTAGAGCCCTTCCGCGGGAGGCCCCGCTGGAGCCTGGCCCCGCCCAGGACCCGGAGACCCTTCCCAGTCCAGGACCCCGCGGCCCCGGCCCCTGGAAGGCCCCCGGCGATCTGGTCTCCGAGCGGAAGATCCGAGAGAGCGAAGATGGTCGACTTCAAGACTGAGGGCTCTGGTCTGTTTTGCGGGAGGGCGGCGGATGCCTCGTGCTGCAGGCCGCCAGTCCCCAACGGGCTGCTTCGAGCCCCGTCCTCGTTAGCACGGGCCGGTTCGCCCTCGGTGCCCCTAGGTGGTCGGCCCCCGCCCGATCCGCCCGCCTGGCCGGCGACCAGCGCGCGCAGAAGGCCCGTCAGCTCGCTCAGCTGGCCGTTGAGACCCGTGTTCTGCTGCTGGACCATCGTCTGACGCAACTCCTCGATCTGCTCCTGCACGGACTGGCGGTCCGCCTCGATCGGTGCATCCTGATCCACCTTCACCGGGGAGCCCGTCTTGACCGCCGCCTTGACTCTGAGCCGGCGCCCTCGGAGGCGGGGCCTTCATCGGCACAGTCATCCTCTGGCCCAGCCAGTCCACGGGCTCGGCTTTCCTGGCGAAGGGCGGGAAGCTGGACTCGCGCGGCTCGGTCATCTCCTTCTTGAGCTCCTTGACGACCCTCGCCGCAAGCTCCCTCTCCTCCTTCTTGACCTGGCGGGCCTCCTCGATCTCCTTCTTGGACTTGCGATGCATGGTGAGGCGCTCCTTGCAGATCGCGCAGTGGACGAAGGTCCCGTACTGTTTCCCACCGCGCTTCCGGGCCTCCATCGGGTGGATGCACTTGCCCTGCAGGCCCCTCTTCGGGCCTGGGTCGATCGGAGTGAGGTCGGCTGCTCCCGGGGCCAAAGCCTTCAGCATGCGGGTCGAGGTCACGGTGCAACAGCGCGAGCAGCTTGGACCCGACCCTCCTCCAGGCGGCTACTCCCGGGGCCAGCAGGAAGTTCCCCTCGTAAAACAACTCGAGCTCGACGGGGCCCATCGTCTCCTCCGACAGGTCGAGCCCCCTGAGACTCCCGTCGACCCACGGATCGGCTGGCATGTCCCAGTTCGCCTTCATGTCGCTGTCGTCGGTCTCCTCGCTGATCACGGCCATCTTCGCCTTCGACTTGAGCGCCCCGATGGTCCTGGCTCCGTCCGTCGTCCGACGCTTTCTGAGGCGGTCCTGCCGCACCTTCTGAGAAGACATCGGCGCCCGCTGAGACTGCTGGGACAGGGGAATGTCCCGAAAGCGTAAACTTGCTCGAGCTCGCCGCTCCCCAGACGCCCCCCCACGAGTAGCCCCAAGACTGTCTCCTGTCTGGGAGGATCGAGCGGGGAAGGAGGAGGACGAGGGGACTGACGGCTGGCGCCCTGGCGCGCGAGCCGGGCCGCGGTCCTCAACGACCGCGCTGAACTCGCCCCCGATGTCGAAGTCGGCGCGGCCGACCCAGTAGAAGGGCATCGCTAGGTGCGCCGACTCCCGATCCATCCAGTCACTCACGAACTCCTGCTTCTGCTCCACGTCGTGCCGGTCCACGTAGATGCACGTCGTCCTCCTGCTGGGGCCGAGCTGACTCACGTCCACGGGAATGCCCGCCACCTGCTTCGGCGTGAACATAGCTCTCCTGGGCCTGTTGTGGTGGCGCCTCAGGACTGGGCCGATGACCTCCCAGGTGTCCAACTCGTTGTTCTCAGGGTCTCTCGCTTCAACGGAGGTCGCAGTCTCCTTGATGAAAGACGGAAGCCTGTCAGCTATGTTCGGGTCGATCTTGAGCTCGTGAGGCGCACGCCCGATCAAGTTGACTGCCCGATGTCCGGTCGGAAGCTTGATAAGATCCCGCTCGGCGCCGTCGCCTAGCTTCAGCTTGTTGCCTGGCATGCCCACGACCGCCTTCAGGTAGTCTAGGAACTTAGCCGGCAGCAGCGGCGGGCACCGATGCGGAAGAACGAGAAACTCAATCACCCCGCAGCCGCAGAGCGACTCTGGGACCAGGGCCTTGGCCAGCGGCGCGGCGCCGCCGCCTACCCCGTTGGCCTTCGGGAAGTCGCCCTCATAGCTCGCGCGGACCACGAATCCTCTCTCGTCGAACGCGCGAATCAAGTTGCCCAGGTCTCCCTTGCCGATGAGAGCCTGCCCCGCCGCCGCGCCCGCCAGACCGCGCGGGCCCGGCGATCGCAGGGGAACCGATGCCGGAGCCTCGTCGAGGCGCTTGCCGTTCAGGGTCGCCCAGCTGCTCGCGCCGTCTAAAGAATCGATCCAGTCGACCATCCACGAACCGCCTGTCTCGTCGGAGCCGTCGGCCGCGAAGAAGAACGAAGAGCTCGCACCGCTGGGCCCCTGTTCCTTCTCGGCCTTCAGTCGGTCCGACTGAGAACGGTACGCCTTCTTGCAATCGCCTCGCCAGCGCCCCTTCTCACCGCAGTTCGCGCATCGTGACCTGTTCTTCAGGTCGTGCCTCGGGGTCCCCCGAAAGCCCGCCTTGGGCGGTGGAGGGGGCCTGCCTCGCTCCCCATCGAAGAATTTCCGATCCACCCGACGGGCATTCTTCATATCCTTCGACTCCTGCCAGGTCCGTCGACGTCTCGGCTCGGCAACTTCTGCGAACACCTGGTAGGCCTGGTCCTCGTCTAAGCTCTGCTGGCCTATAGCCGCGAGGAGGGTCATGGCCTCCTCGTCCGGAAACTCTACTTCGAACAGGTCGAAAGACTCCTCGAGATCCTGCTGGCCCTCGTCGGGCCCCTGATCCTGGGCCACCTCAGCATGCGCCCTGGAGGTGCCCGGCGCCAGCAGCGGCAGCACTGTCTTCTCTCGAACGTCCATCGCCAGAAGAGCCTTCCTCACCGACTTCAGTGACTTGTCTTCTCCCATCAGCGTTCTCATGTTCACCTTCATCTGTCCGTGCAGCATAGCTCCTTCCTCATAGTACTTCGCAAGCAGCTGATCAGGGAGAGTGAGACCGAATCGCTGCGCCTCGCTGACCTGGGTGTCCCGGCGGACCACACACTCCGTCAGCGACTCGCCTGTGCGAATCTTGAAGTCAAACAGCGCACGATGTTGGGCCTCGCGCTCTTTATCAACCAGTCTCTCTCCCGACAGCAACTCGAGATGGGCCACCAACCTGTCTAGCCCATCGTCCTGATCCAGCTCGTGTCTCAAGGACCGGAACTTGACCTGAAGCTCGATCGGCAACGACTCGAGCACCTTCTCAGCCTTGTTGCGAGGCTTGTACCCAGTTCTCAGCTTCCAAGAGTGCAAGTTGTCGCGGTACAGCTCCAGATTTTCCAGACCGTGGAACACTGGCGGTGCTGAGAAATCCTTCGGGCGCCCCTCCCACTGTGGTCGATAGTCGTCCCACAGTTGACTCTCCAGTCGCTGCCAGCTTCCCCATCCTTCTCGTGATGACTTCGCGTCGTCGTCATCGCCGTCGGGCCTCCAGGTCCACTTGCCGCCGGACGTCTTCCACCACTGTGTCCACGATCCCCACCATTCCGCGGCATCCTTCCAAGGGTCTTCGGACTCTTCTCCCTGCTTGGCTCCTGCTGCTGCTGCCGGAGGCTGGTCTCCCCCAGCCCCTGGAAGTTGATTGCTCCCGTCGTCCCCGTCGTCACCATCGCTCCGCTTACCATTGTCGGCACCATCGCGAGACATGCGATCTGAAACGGGAGAGCAGTATCTTTCTTCCTGGGACCGAGAGAACGCCTCTACCCTCCGTCAGGAGGCATCATGAAACCTAACCCCAAAGGGCTGCGGAACGGACACGTCAGACACATAGTGAGAAGGGGGAGGGGAGGGAACAGAAGACAACATCCCACATTTCCCCATCCTTTCCTGGGAGTCGACCACGATTTGTGTCTGTGTGCTCCCTTTCCTTCCTGAGCAACGTGAGAAAACCGTTCTGAATTCACCTCCAGGCAAGGATTTGTTTTTTTTCACACTTTTTGCCTCGCTCGACCCTGGAGGTGCTTGGCCGCAGCACGGGAGCAGTGCGGCGGCAGGGGCTTGCGGCACTACGCTTTGGGGCGCAGGGGTTCTGCAGGACCTCCTAAAGGAGGGGCGGTGGTGCGAACGGCAACCACCACTGAGCAGCCCATCGCGAGGCTACCCCCTGCCCCCATCCGGCTTCTATCGTTAGGCCGGACCTCGGAAAAAAAACGGCGGTGCCCCCGGGCACCCAGCGGCGGCAAGCGAAGAGGAAGCTTGGCGAGAGTCAGTACGCAAGAGGGGGGAGGAAGGAGGGGGGGGGACACGAGGGCAGTTCTACGTGCTCAGGCGCGCGCCCTGGGCCTGGTTGCCCTCACAGACTTTGCCGGTTGCGCTGTTCAATGCTCCGCTTCTGCATGTTGCGTCGGTGGTGGTGGGGCGGGGGTGGGAGCCTCAAAGTGCTATGGCATGACAACTGCTGCATGCTTCACTGCTGATGCTACCTGCTCCTCCCTCCACGGCGGTCTTCGGCTAAGTGTGAATCACCGGGCCCCCTGCTCACACAAAAAGGCCCTATCATTTCACACTTTTTGCCTCGCTCGACCCTGGAGGTGCTTGGCCGCAGCACGGGGGCAGTGCGGCGGCAGGGGCTTGCGGCACTACGCTTTGGGGCGCAGGGGTTCTGCAGGACCTCCTAAAGGAGGGGCGGTGGTGCGAACGGCAACCACCACTGAGCAGCCCATCGCGAGGCTACCCCCTGCCCCCATCCGTCGCCCCCAATTCCGACTTCCAGTCGCCGGAAGCCCCTGTGCCGCTGTACCTCTGGTCACGCCTGCAGAACCGCGCGCCTTCCAAGGTCGGCGGCCTGCTGCACCAGCGATTCTGTTGCATTGCGGGACCAGGCGCCCATTTCTGCAGCAGCTGTCTCAATGTACACGCGCGCTGTCCGCGCGTGCTGCCAACGCCCCACCACCATGACTCGGTCGAGCGATCCCGACAGCAACCACAACCATGTAGCACCACCTCTCCGGAGCCCGTAGGGCGTAACTGTGTCCCCACTGATGCCGAAGAACTGCGCCAGCCATTTGTACTCGTGCGCGAAATGGCTTGGTGGTTTGGTGTAGAGAGGCTGGGTGTGAGACCGGCCTGCAGATGCCGCCTGCAGGGCTTTGATGGCGACTGCGTCGTGGATGATGACGTGCTCGACGTTGCCGCCTTTTCTTTTGGCTGTTTTGGTGTCGTACAGCATAATTAGAACCTTGCGGCCATCTGGGCTGAAGTGAAGTTGTCCTGCTTTGAGTCCCACTATTTCGGCTGTTCGCAACAAGCCAAGGAATCCTGCAAGGAGGAGCGCGGCAAGGTCGAGTCGGTCATACGACATGGCTGCGCCAACCATTGCTCCCAGGATGGCCCGGGGGAGCGGGAAAGCTCGCTTACGGTGTAGGACCGACCCCCAATTGTGCAGATATTGCCGCGCTGTTGGCATGGCCGCGCGGGCCCCCGGGTAGAAGCGTGACAGCCCGCATATGGTGTCGCTGGCGTATCCGTGCGAATCACCTTCCTGCCACATGTGGTTTATGTACTCAGCGAGAGTAGAATCCAATTCAAACAACGATTGCGGAATGCGTATATTGTATGTCCGAAGGTAATAGAAAAATGATATCAGTGCTTTCGTGTATCGCTCTCTTGTCTTTGCTGTGATGCCTACTTCCCTCAGGTGTCGTTTTACCCCTGGTCGGGGCTTCTGGCGGCTAGCCTCCCCCATCGCCTGCGTGAAGGCGGCTCGCGGCGTCCGCGAACTGCCATTCTGATATGGTCCAGACACCGAAGGAGTAGGCATCCATTGCGAGTTCCAACGCCATGAGTTTCCGCCGCGGTCTGTTGAGGCGCCGGCTGGAACTGCGGCCTTTTGCGACTACAGCCGCGGCCACTTGGCTGTCAAAGACGTTGATGAATCGCAACGAGTGGTAACAACGAGAGCGAGACTTCTTTCGGACATAGTTTAAATACGCAATTAATTCCAACACGTTGATATGTTGTTTCGCTTTCCACCGGTACGACATGACAACGTGCCATTTCCAGGCGAATGCCGGGTAGGGCACGGTTTGCCGCAAATCGGCAACTTCGCTGGTGGACATCCACACATGAGCGCCTTTAGTGTCCGCCCACGAAAGCATGGACCGGAGGTGGGCTTGCTCCCCTCCAGGGACCATGCGTTGCAGGAGTCGCCCGATCTCCTGGGCCGCTGGCGCTAAAGCGCCCTGGGTGCC